CGGGACTGAGCATGCCTGCAGGTCTGCACCAGGAGGTGCCCGGGTGGGGCAGCTGCGTGGGACCAGGAGCAGGTTCCGGGTGGGTCACAGGGGGGGGGGAGAGGGGTGGTCCAAGGGGCAGTAAGTCAAGCCTCTTATTGGTTTAATGGGGAGGGTCCTTGGCCATCTCTGGGCCCTAGTGAGAAGCCAGAGGAATGCAGGCCTCCCAGGACACACTGCCAGCCCTGCTTGCTAGGGGCTGCAGTGGACCCGATGGGCCAGTGGCTAGGCTGCGCTTGCGGCCTGGCTCTGGCTCTGGCTCTCAGCACCTCCTGGTGGGCCGCTCTGCATGGAACTGGGCAGGGGAAGTGCCTGAGCTGCAGTGCCGCTGCCAGTGGCCCCTCCCTCCTTCCCTCTTCAGTTTCACTTTTGTTTTCCTCTCAGGCCTTCTGTCTGTGGGGCAGGCAATAGGGCCTGGCTGAAGGCCTGGGCCCAGGGAGGCCGAGGGGGTGGCTGGGGACTGTAAGTGCTGCCTGCTGGGCGCCCACAAGGAGGGGAGCAGCAGAGGAGGGAGCGGCCTGGGGAGGCAGGCGGGTGGAGTGGCTGCTTCCTGACCCACTCACCCCAGGCCCAGGGTGCCGCGAGGCCCATGGCTCTGCCGGAGGCAGAGGTGGAGGAGGGGGCGGTGGAGCTCTGGGCACTGCCCCCTGACTTGCCCAGCGAGCTGCTCACGCTCTACTTCGAGAACCGCCGTCGCTCTGGTGGGGGACCTGTGCGGAGCTGGCAGAGACTTGGCAGAGGGGGGATCGTCACCTTCCAGGAGCCAGCAGGTGAGGAGCTGGCCAGAGTGGGCGGCCTGGGGCCCTGCCAGCCCTGACGCCCAGCTCCATCCCTGCTGCAGACGCCCAGAGGGTCTTGGCCCAAGCAGAGCATGAACTACACGGTGTGCGACTGAACCTGCGGCCAGCCCCGCCACGCGCCCCCACACGCCTGCTGCTTCAAGGGCTGCCCCCTGGCACTGCCGCCCTGTGCCTGGAGCACCACGTCCAGGCCCTGCTGCATGCCTCTGGGCGCCCCGTGCTGCCCTGTCGCATCCTGGCCAGCCCCCGGCCGGACCGGGCCCTGGTGCAGCTGCCCAAGCCCCTTTCTGAGGCAGGTGAGAGGTGGGATTGGGGTCGGGTTAGGGGAGGTGCCTCACCCTGACTTGTAAACTCCCCACAGATGTCCGTGCCCTGCAGGAGCAGGCCCAGAATCTGGGCCTCGAGGGAGCCCCGGTGTCCTTGGCCCCAGTGCCCCAGGCCCGAGCTGTACGTGTGCTGGGAGGCACGGCTGCTGCAGACCTGCTGCTGCTGGAGCTGTACCTGGAGAGTGAGCGCCGCAGTGGTGGGGGGCCTCTGGAAGACCTGCGCTGCCTGCCCAGGCACCTGGGCGCCATCGCCACTTTCCAGCACTGGCAGGGTGAGTGGGGCCGGGCGCACCTAAGCCGAGCCTCCCTCTCCCGCAAAGGCTGACGGGCAGTCTGTCCTCTCTCTTGGTCCAAGTGGCTGAACGGGTGCTGCAGCGAGACCACAGGCTGCAGGACTCGGAGCTGACCCTTGTCCCCCACTACGACTGCCTGGAGCCCGAGGAGGAGCTTGCGGAGGGTACCAGTGGAGGGAACCAGCCATCTAGGCTGGCGTCTGGGGCCACGGAGCTTGCCGTGCCAGAGGCTGGAGTGCTAGCGGGAGTGCTGACTGGTGCAGAGGCCGTGGCAATGGGCGCTGGGGAGGCACTGCAGCCTGTGAGCCCTCCAGGCCAGGCTGGGGCGGTTAGCTGGGGGCCCGCAGGCTCTCTGGAGCAGGACAGGCTGGTGAGCCCAGGGCCTGTGGGATCTGCAGACCCGGTGGGCCCAGTGGAGATCCCTGCAGAGTTTCCGGAGCTGCTGGAGTTGCCAGGGCAGGAGGGCCTGGTGAGCCTAGCGGACATTGCCAAGCACTCACCAGAGAAGGCGGGGCTGTTGAGCCCAGGGCTTGTGGGGCAGGAGGGCCTGGTGGAGAAGGTGTTGTCCATGGAGCCTGGGGCGATGCGCTTCCTGCAACTCTACCACGAGGACCTTCTGGCCGGCCTGGGAGACGTCGCTCTTTTCCCAATTGAAGGAACAGATGTGACGGGCTTTCGAGTGAGTGACCCAAGATTCCTCATCCTCTGCCCCCTTTGCCCATGGGGACTCTGGATCCCTTTCCTCTGCCCTAACCCTACAAATGGCACCCTCCTATGGTGCGCAGCTGTGTGGAGCCCTGGCCCCGTGCCAGGCAGCTGTGGAGTTCCTGCAGAGTCTGCTGGGCAGCATTAGCTGCCACATGCTCGACCTGAAGCACCCGGGCAGTGCGGCGTTCCTGCTGGGCCCGGAGGGGCAGCACCTTCTTCAGGGGCTGGAGGCTCAGTTTCAGTGTGTCTTTGGGACAGAGCGTCTGGCCAGGGCTGCCTTGGACACAGGCCCTGAAGAGGTAGGGATGGAGTCCTGGGGCCCTGCACAGCCCGGCCTGTGTCTTGGACCCTTGCTCAGAGGCCAGTGGACCTGACATGCTCTCCCTGCAGGTGGACCCCACTGAAGTTCTCCAGTTTCCCCCTGGCCACAGCCCTACCCTGTGGCCACCAGACAGCACAGGTGGTGACCAGGAGAGTGTGAGCCTGGGTAGGGCTCCCTGGGGCCCCGCTGACCTCCCCATCTACCCTACTCTGCATGTCCACTCGCTAGGAGGAGGCAGCTGCACTGCAGCGAGCTCTCGCCCTCTCCCTGCGGGAGCAGCCCCCAGCAGAGGCAGGGGAGCCGCAGGGGCCAGGTGGCAGGGCTAGTGACCCTTCCCAGGTTTGCCAGTGCCCTCCGAACTCACTCCCCACCTTTCGCCCATTCCAAGTCACCCTGCCCCTCAGGGCTACCTTGGCTAGGGCCAACCTCTGATCTAATGTCTCCAGAGGAGATCCGAGAGCTGCTGGCTACCCTAGAGGGCCTGGAAGGGGAGGACTGGCTGCCTCTGGAGCTGGGGGAGGAGGCGTCCAAGGAGGAGCCGAAGGAGCCAGAGACTACAGGGCACGAGGAGGCGTCACCCAGGACTGGGGCAGCTGGAAGGCTACAAGAGGAGGCCACGCTGCAGCTGGCCCTGCACCAGTCGCTGGATCCTCGAGGCCAAGGGGCCAAGCAGGAGGCAGCTGCACTGCAGCAAGCTCTCGCCCTCTCCCTGCTGGAGCAGTCCCCAGCAGAGGCGGGGGAGCCGCAGGGCCCAGGTGGCAGGGCGCAGCTGCTGGTGCACGTGGGTTTTGAGCAGGACATGGATGAGCTGGACCAGGCGCTAGGTGCTGCCTTGGAGGCTCACCTCCGGGAGGAGACGGTGGGGCCTTGTGGCCGCCTGCTGCCCACAGAGCTGCGTGCTGGCCTGGAGCAGCGCCATGGTGTGAGTGTTGGCCTGCGTGGGGACCGTGTCATCCTCCGCGGCTTTGGGGCCCAGCCCGCCCGGGCAGCCCGCCACTTAGCTGCACTGCTGGCTGGCCCTTGGGATCTGTGCTCGGCCTCCCCATTGGCAACTCCAGGAGTCCCCCGTGAGTCTGCATCTGGGCTGGGGGGTGGTGGCTCTCAGGCGCTGATGCCCCAGGCGTGGCCCTGACCCCCTCCTGCCCTTGTGTCAGTGCTGGAGCAGAGGCAGAAGGGACCCTTGGGCAGGCTGGAGAGTCTGGCAGCGAGCACAGGGGAGTTCCAGGATGTGGTGCAGGCCTTCTGTGACAGCCTGGACGCCGCCCGCGGGGTGAGTACACGGCTGCCTGGACCCGCAGCGCCATTCGTGCCTGGCAGTCTGCAGGCTGTCACTCTTGGCCTCAGGCGCTGGCCAGGAGCTGCAGGGACTAGGGGTGGGGGTGGGGGTGCTTTTTGGGTGAGCTTATTTTCATAGTTTTGTCCTCAGGGATACAGAGTTTTGTACTGT